TTTTCTTTTCCTTTTCTCTGCCGCACCTCTACGAGAATTGAGCTAATCGCCTCGTGACGTCATCGACCGATGGAATTATAATATAATTATAATTAACATGATTATTATGATATAATTATTGATATAGTGAATTATAATATAATTTCGTTCCTTGTGCCTTTGGGCCTGAACTTCGAGATGTCCGAAAAGGAGACTTCGAACGTTTCAGCAACACAGACTGGGAACGAAATGGAGCCGTTCCTTGTCGATTCTGAATGTGCCGTCGCGGGTTCTCATGAGAATGTGGATCCTCGGGCTCCAGGATTAAAAAAAAATAATAAGTGGATAAATAATAGATTAATTGATAAAAATAAGATAAATGAATAATAAAATAATAATAATAGTTGATTATTGATTAAAATAAGATTAAAATGAAATAATAATAATAATAATTAATAATAATAATAATGATATTAGGATTATTGATAAAATAAGATAAATGAATTAATAATAATAATAGATAATTAAATAATTTAGTAAAATAAGATTAATGAATCTGGAGACTTTTTTTTGAGTGTGGCATCTTGAGTGCCCAGCTTTAGGATCTGCGGATAGGGAAGGAGAGGGGAGGGAGGGAAGGAAGGAGAGAGAAGGAGGAAACGAGGAAAAGGAAGGAGAGGGAGGAGGGAAGGATGGAAGGAAGGGAGAGAAAGGAGGGAATGAGAAAGGAAGGAGGAAGGATGAAAGAAAGCAGAGGGAAGAAGGAGAGAGAAGGAGGAAAGAAGGAAGGGAAGGAGAGAAGGAATGAGCTGGAAGGAGGGAAGGAAGGATGGGAATGGCAGAGCGCAACATATGTTAATTTTCCCTACTCGGAATAAAAAAAGAAATTGTGACTCATGACCGTCATATCATAATGGAGGAGGGCGGGAGGGCGTGGGGCGCATAAGCAGAGGAGGGTAACTAGGAAGAAGACCACATAGAACATAAAACACACCTTGTAGACCGAAAGCCATCGACGTGCCACGCGGGATAGTCGTCATCTCGCGAAACAGTCACGGGGGGGAGTTGAATGCAATCCCCCCCTTTTCTCTCTCTCTCTCTGTCTTTCGCTCTTTGTCTCTGTCTCTCTCTGAATCTCTCTCTCTCTCTCTCTCTCTCTCTCTCTCTCTCTCTCTCTCTCTCTCTCTCTCTCTCTCTCTCTCTCTCTGTCTTTCGCTCTTTGTTTCTGTCTGTCTGTCTCTCTCTCTCTCTCTCTCTCTCTCTCTCTCTCTCTCTTCTCTCTCTCTCTCTCTCTCTCTCTAGTTATCGACAGTTATTCACAGGGAATGGAGAGGGCCGGAGTGCGAAAGACGGCAGACGGCGCCACCTCGTGTTTTTCAGCGAGAAGCCCAAGGAGTGTGTGTGTGTGTGTGTGTCTTCAGGACGACAAGAAGATCGAAAATGAGTTTCTGGGTTTTTTTTCGCGGGGGGGCGATGGTGTGTGTGTGTGTGTGTCTGTCTGTCTGTCTGTCCTCGCGCTTCTGGTCTGTGCGAATGGGGGCGAATTTGTGTTTGGTTGCTTTGTGTAACTGCCTGGGCTGAGTGCGTCCGTGCGTCCGTGTGTGTATATTATAGTGTGGGTGTGTGTGTGTGTGTGTGTGTGTGTGTGTGTGTGTGTGTGTGTGTGTGTGTGTGTGTGTGTGTGTTCGTGTGGTGTGTACATGCGTCTCTGGTTCTTGTGTTATATATGGTCTTTGAATCTGTAACTTCAAGAAGAGAATCAGTTCCAATAAGGTCACGACAAACGTTCAATGACCACGGATTTGTATTAATCATAACTTACGTAATTATCCGGCTGACCTCTGACCTCACACCCCTAATCCCAGGGTACGGAGAGATCCCTTTAATTGGATTCCGCAGACTTTGTGGTACGAATGGATTTTTATAAATCGCCTTCTCGTCCCTTTCTCCTGTAAGTCACGTCTGCCTGTGTGTCTGTCTGGCTGTGTCTGTGTACTTCTGTGTGTACGTGTATTTTGCGATTGTATAGATGTGTGTATTTGTATATGTATGTGGAGTATGGATGTATATGCATTCATGTATGTATATGTGTGTGTGTGTTTGCGCGCGCGTGTGTGTGTGTCTGTATACGCGCGTGTGTGTGTTTGTCTATATACGCGCATGTGTGCGTGTGTGTGTGTATGTACAGTATGTATGTATATACATGCATGTATATGTCTATCCAAGATTATATGTCTCTCTGTATGCATATACGTACGCACACCCGCACGCACCCCCAGGAGGCGGCGCGCGGGCGAGGAGCATCGGCCGCTGGGAAAGAGACCGTGGCGTACGTGCTGCGGCTGCGGGCGGGCCGTGACGCGCCCGTGACGCTCGCGGCCCGGAAGATGCCTCAACATTCCGGGGAAACAAGGCCCTGACGACGGTTTTTCCCCCCCCCCCCCCCCTCTCTTCCGCTTCTTGAGTATTTTTTTTTTTTTTTTCCATTTTTTTTCCCCCTTTCTGTCCTCATGCGTCTCTTTAGTTCTTTTTTTCTTTTCCTCCCTCCTATTTCCTTCGTTTTCATTTTCCCCTTCCTTTTCCTTCTCCTCCCCTCTTTCCCCCTTTCTCTTCCTTCCCTTCCCTTCCTTCCACACAATTGTCTACATTAACAATTCAGTCAAAGAACAAAACAAAAACAAAGACAAACCACAACGAATGTTAACACGAATATCACTCCCCCCAAAAAATTACGTACCATTTCTTTGTTTTATTTTTTGTTTATATAATTCTTTACTGATGTCTCGCATGATAAGAAACGGGTTGCCGACAAACGTATTTTAACAGCCTTTTATCACTGTTGGTCAATAGTATTCTTCCCTTGCGAGTTAAAGGCTTTTAGGACCTTTAATAAACTTACTCATATTTATTTTATTTTATTTTTTGTTTATTTTCTTTCTTTATTATTATTTATTATTTTTTATTATTTATTTATTTATTATTATTTATTATTTATTTCTTTTATTTATTTATTATTTATTTACATTATTATTTATTTTTATTTGTGTTATGTTATTGTATTGTAATTTTGGTATTATTTATTAATGGTTTTGATATGCTAAATATGTCGGTAAAATTACAGTGACAGTTTTAACAGTGAATGATAATGATGAAGCTAAGTCATATGATAGTAGTAATGACTAGAATGGTTATAATATTGATTATGGTAATAAGTATCATAACATTCATTATAGCAAGAATTATCATAATGATGTATGGCAATGATTATCATGATATCGAGTGCGGTAATAATTATTACATCATCATCATTATCAGCATTATCTTTTGTGGATTTCATTATTAGCATTACTTTTGTGATTTTCATTATTATTATTACTATTAGTAGTATTGGTTATAAGTACATTGTTGAAATCATGTTTTTAAAAAGTTTATGTCGAAGATAATGATTACGATGACCATTAACGATAAAGATAACAATCCTACAGCCACTGTTAAATAACAATAGTAATACTGACAATAACACACGTAAAACATGATAACTTTCGTCATCCCTTGACAAAAAATAGATAAAAGATAATAATGATAATAGATAATAATAATGATGATAGATGATAATAATAATAATAATAATAATAGTAATGATAATAGATAGTGATATGATGATGATAATATAAATAATAATAATAATGATAACAATAATGATAGTAATAATAACAACAATAAGTATATAAATAACAAAACAGATTAACAAAAATCGAAACCAGACCAACAGGTTCCGAAAAAAAGCACGAGACGAACACAAAACTCCACAAAAAGGTGGTTTTAAGACTCCCTAAATGGAAAGAAAACCAGAGAACCTATGGGAGTGACTCACTACTCGACTGGCTGACTGAAGGGTTTTCTGTGAAACGGGAATTGGGAAGGAGTCTGTAATAAGGTTGGTGGTGGTTGGTGTAGGAATGGTGGTGACGGGAATGGAGGATTTTTTTTAGCGGGAATAGGAGTTTCTTAAGCGGGAATAGGAGCGGGAATAGAGTTACTTAGCGGGAATAGGAGTAGGCGGGTTACTTAGCGGGGAATAGGAGGGGAATAGGAGTTACTTAGCGGGAATAGAGGCATTGGTAGCGGGGATAGAGCAGTTGGTGGCGGGAATAGAGCAGTTTGGTGGCGGGAATAAGCAATTAAGAGCAGGAATAGGGTAATAGTAGCGGGAAATAGAGCAATTGATAGGAATAGAGCAAATGTGGTAGCGGGAATAGAGGATTGGATAGCGGGAATTTTGTTAGCGGAATAGAGCAATTGATAGCGGGAATAGCAATATGGTTAGCGGTGATAGAGCGGTAGCGGGATTAGGTGGTTTAGTCTTCCTCTGTTAAGGGGGGGGGGGGGTATCTGCTGTAGTACACTGATTCTTAACGATTTTCAGTATACAGTAACGGACAATTATTATCCTTTTTTGTGATAGATTGATGCTTCGGATCTGTCTCTCCCTATACAAAAAAAAAAAAAAAAAAAAAAAAAAGTGGTATGAATCGAACGTTGGAAACAAAATTCGAAACACGTTGGACAAGAGTTTTTATCGCGACTTGAACGCACTTTTTTCAAATCAGCTGTTCGTTCTCACTCCCCCCCCCCCCTCCCCCCTGGACTTGCGGAAGTACAAAAAAAAAAAATGCTTTACTACAGAATTGAAGTCATGTGGATTATTAACCGCGCTTATGTTTAAAGCTGTATTGACCAAGATTACGTGTTTTTTTTCTGTTATTTGCGTGGCGAAAATGCAGAGACCGTGAGAATAGAACTCAAATTACATTGTAACGTTGCACTTCATTTGGAAATTACTTCTCTACCGGTGCATGTGATCTTAAGAGAAAATTTCAGCATTTTCCCGAAAATCTTGTTTATATAGTAACATACGCATGCAAAAAAAAAAAAAAAAAAAAAAGAAAAAGACAATGGTAACAATAATAATAATAATTGATGATACATAATGGATGGTGGTGATAACTGTGGTAGTAGAGATGGTATTGGCAATTTCTGTAGATGGAGGCAGTACAGCAATGTATAAGGTAGTTATAGGACAGAGGTATTGGTGGAGTGATACCGTGATGGAAATCAGAGTTGTAATAGTAACATCAGTAAGAATTTTAGCGAGGTCGCGACAGTTGTTTGTGCAGGTAAGATTATAGTGATACAATTTGATGAGGAAAAAGAGCAGTTTTATTTATGATGAGACAGTAAAGTGGTATTGGCTGTATATGTGTGTGTGCGTGTGCGTATGCGTGTGCGTGTGTGTGTGTGTGTGTGTGTGTGTGTGTGTGTGTGTGTGTGTGTGTGTGTGTGTGTGTGTGTGTGTGTGTGTGTGTTTGTATCATAGTGGTAGCAATGAGAATATTAGCATAAGGACCAGCTGTAGAATAGTTACGGTATCAGCAGCAATAGCAGTGGCGCAAATAAAGTATTGTAATGTAAATTAACGATGCAGGCTTTAATGATGAAGAAAATAGTTTTAGTAAAATGTTTGAACACGTGTGACAGGTGAAGGGAAAAATTAGATTTATATGTGCGTGTTTGTGTCTGTATTGGTTGGTTTCACATGTTTATGTACATTCTACTTATATTACTCAGCCATTAACATTACGTAAGCTCTTACTGGGAAAACAGTGAATTATACTATTATGCCATTACATACACATACATAGATACGTACATATATGCATATTATGTGTATAAATTTGTATACATGGGTATACGTAAGTGTTTGTATAGATAAACAATAGTCTTCTCACTTTAGTTGAAAAAATGAGTTGACTGTTAAACATAAATGAATAAAATAGAGAAAAAATCAAGTGATGTACTCAGTCAGAGATGACGGAGAAAATTATTAAAAATAACTCGAAAAAAGTACTCAGCATAACAAAGGAAAATAGAGCAAACTGTTCCCAAAAATACAAAAAAAAAATAACGATACATAACCAAAACGAATATAAAGCATAGTGAAGTAAAATATCCATAAAAAATGTACTCCGCATAGCAAGGAAGGGTGGAGTGTTCAGTGCAGGGAAGTTAGTACGCGAGGAATCCCAACCGAGCAGCGTAGTGTCCGCTGCAGGCCAGTCTGCGCGGCCGCTCGAGAGGTCACTGTACCCCCTGTGCCGCCGCTGCCTCGTCCTCTGTGACTATGCTGCTGCTGCTCGCTTCGCATTTCTCCCTGGACGCTTTTCGTGTGGTTATTGGTGTTGTGATTTGTTACTGATAGTGTTATTACTATTAATACTTTTCATTTTTGTTATTACGAATGATAGTTTTTATAATTGTTAATGATATTACAATTACTACTACGAATGCTTCTACTCCATTTCTTCTGCTACAACTACTGCTTCTACTAGTACTACTACTGCTACTACAACTACTACTACTTCTGCTACTTCTACTACTACTACTATTACTATTACTACTGCAACTACTACAATTAATACCTTTATTCGTGGTAGTTATTTTTTATTGCTATTGCTGTGACTGTTATAGTTATTGCGTTACTCATGATGTACCGCGCTGTCTTGGCGAGTGAAATCTGTTGTTGCCAAGTTTATGCTTTTTGAACCGTGTATTACAGTTATATGTTGCGCATCATTATGTGACTATGATATTTTTCTTTACTTCTCTCTTTCTCTTTTTATCTCTCTCTCTTCTCTGATCGTTCTCTATCTCTCTCTCTCTTTTGGTCGTTTATTTTCTTTTTCTTTCTTACTCTCTTGATCGCGCTTTTTCTCTCTTAAGCTCTCTGTGTCTCCACCCCCCCCCTCTTCTCTCTCTCTCTCTCTCCTCTCTCCATCCCTTCCTCTCCTCTCTTCCTCCATCCTCTCTCCCTCCCTTCATCCCTCTCCCCCCTTCCTCCCTCCTACGACCCCCCCACCACCACACCTCCACCACCACAACCACCTCTCTTCTCCCCTTTCCACGACCACATTTAGCCCTTCCTACCACCCTACGACCACTAACACCCCTCCACCTCCCCCTCTCCCCCCAACCTTCGCTATAACCGCCTTCCTCATCCCACGACCACAGGGGAACCACAACTACAACGCGTCATCCACCTTATACCTTATACTTTGTGAATACTGATACCCTGTGTCTCTCTTTGGATCTGTCTGTCTGTCTTTCTCTCGCTCTGTGTCTTTCTCTTCTCTGTCTGTCTCTCATCTCCTCTCTCTCTCTCTCTCTCTCTCTCTCTCTCTCCTCTCTCTTCTCTCTCTCTCTCTCCTCTCTCTCTGATAGTGATGATGTAAATGGTAAAAGTCACAAAATAACACTTGTCATCGTGATCACCCTGATCACCGTCATTTCTCATCTCATCACATCATGATTCATCACCATAACCATCTCTGTATTCATCTTAACCATCATCTCTTGTATCAAAACAAAAAATCATACTGCATACTACCGTGATTCGTCTACCTCGGAAGATGGACCGTGTATTGCAACCAAAGAGTATAGAGTCATTGGTTGCAACTATGCAGAGTAAATAACCTAATAATAATAATATTAATAATGATAATAATAATAATAATAGAGGAAATAATAACCCAGGCGTCTCCTGAGAAAGGTCTTGGTCTGCAGAGTCGATGGAGACAAATTCAGTTATGAGTTTGATGGTTTAAGATTATTTTTATAGGTAATTTTGTGATGGTGGTACATGATTTGGTGATGGTATCTCTTTCTCTGTATCTGTCTCTTTCTCTTTCTCTTTTTCTTTCTTTCTGTCTTTCTTTCTTTCTTTCTTTCTTTCTTTCTTTCTCTCTCTCTCTCTCATCGTTCTCTCTCTCTCATCTCTCTCGTCTCTCTCTTCTCACTCTCCATCATATTCTTCATTTCTCATTCTCATTCTCTTCTCATTCCAATTCTCATTCTCATTCTTCATTCTCATTCTCATTGCTCATGTCTCACAATTCTCTCATTCTCGGGGTCATTCTCTCATTCTCTCATTCTCTACAATTCTTCTCATTCTCTCTTCTCTCTTTCTCTCTTTCTCTCTTTCTCCTCTTTCCTCTTTTCTCACAAACCCATCTTTCTCTCCTTTTCGTTTTCTCGCATTACTCTCCTTCTTTTCTCTCTCTTTCTCTCTTTCTCTCTTTCTCTCTCTCTCTCTGCTGACTCATTTCTTTCTCTCTTTCTCACTCTTTCTCCTCCTCCTCTCCTCTTCTCCTCTCACCCTCCCTTCCCTCTCCCTCCCCCTCCCTCCGCCTCAGCCTTCCTCCCCTCCTCCCTCTCTCCCTCCCTCCCTCTCTCCCTCCCCTCCACTCCCTCTCTCTCTCCCTCCCTCCCTCCTTCTCTCTTCCCTCCCTCCCTCCTTCTCTCTCCTCTCATCCCTACTTGTATTTTCTTGACTACCCTAATTCTTTCACCTCTCTCCATTATCTGCCTCCTTTTAATCCTACCTTTCATTATTATGGTCATTATTATACACATTTTGGCTAATAATTAATCTTATTTTCTTTCAGCCCAGAGATGACGCCTCAACCGGAACTTCTAATGCAGATTTCGGAGGTAAGAATCTTAAAAAAAAAAATATGGTGGAGGAAAGACTATCTTGTAGGGTTTGTTGTGGTGGAGGAAAGACTGTCTTGTGTTGTGTTGTGGTGGAGGAAAGACTGTCTTGTTGTGTGTTGTGGTGGGGAAGACTGTCTTGTGTTGTGTGCTTGTGGTGGAGGAAGATTACCTTGTATGGGTGTTTAGTTCCTTTTTACTGTTACTAGTATTTGTTTTTATTAGTGGTGGTGGGGGTATTTTTGCTGGTATTATTATTGTTGTGTTGTTATGACTAAGTTTTTTTATCGGTGTGGTTATGAATTGTTACTGTTGTTTTGGTATTTTTTATTGTTGTTGGTTTTTATTTGTTTAAATGATATGATTGATTGAAGATGATGTTATTATTTATTATTATTATTAATTATTATTATTATTCCATCTAATTCTTATCACGTGTGAATATAAACGATACCCTTACCCTTACCCAAAAAAAAGATTAAAAAAAGATAATAATAAAAAAAAAGATAAATAGAAGGAAATCAACAAGGACGAAAATAATAATAGCGAGGCTGTAGTTGAAAGTGTGACGTCATACACTAGGAACACCGTGGGAACGCGCTGGGTATTGGCAAAGGCGAAGCGGGGGGGGGGGGAGGGATTGTGGGAAAGACCTCATAAATCTCATGTATTAGGGTCGTTAAAGATTTCTTAATTATATGAGGAGTGATTTTTATTTATTTATTTATATATTATATATATATTTTTTTTTTTATTATTACTTTTTTTTTGGGGGGGGGGGGGGCGGGGTATGGTAGTTCTTGGGATTCAGTTATAGGACGGTAGTAGTGTAGTAAGGTATTAGTCGTGGGAGTTGTTGAAGTAGCAGTAGTAGTATTTTTGGTAGTGGTAGTTGTAGTAGCAGTAGTAGCAGCAGTGGTGGTGGTGTAGTTGTAGTTGTAGCAGTAGTAGTCTGGTGGTAGTTGTAGTAGTAGTAATACCAGCAGTAGTAGTAGTAGTCGTGGTAGTAGTTGCAGCAATAGTATTGGTGGTGGTATTGTAGTAGTAGTAGTAGTAGCAGTAGTAGTAGCTACTAGAGTAGTAGTTATTGTTATAACAGAAGTAGAAGAGGTAGTGATGGTAACAGCAGCAGAAGCAGTAGTAGCCGTAGCAGAAGCGTAGATACCTGTAAAAAATGGCCACAATGAGAGTGTGTGAGGAGACCACGAGCGATTCCCACGATACACAGATTCTGGAGATGTTCCGAAGTTTCTGCCGCGTTAAGTGTTTCTGGCGACAAGAAGTAGGCCGGAAAAGATATTGGTAAGGGCCCCCCCCCTCTTTCTTTCTGTCTTTTTCTTTCTCCCTTCTTCCCCCGCCTCTTCTGTCTTTTTCTTTCTCTCACCTTCCTCTCTCCCATCTTTCTTGTCTTCTTTCTCTCCCTTCTTCTCCCCTCCATCTTCTGTCTCGCTACTTCTTACTTCTTCTCGCCCCTTGTTTCTTTCTCTCTTCCCCTTCCTCCATTCTCTTTCCCTCTTATTACCCCGCTCTATCCTATCCTCTCCCTCCTTTTTCCTCCTTTCTCCCTCCCTCCCCCTTCTCCTCCCCTCCTTTCCCATTCTCCCTCCCTCCTTTCCCATTCTCCTTTCCTCTCCTCTCTTTCCCCTCCTTCCCCCTTCCCCTCCTCACTTTCGCTCCCTTCCTCCCTCCCTTCCGTTTCCTCTTCCGCCCTTCTCCTTCCTTCCTCCTCCTTCCCTCCTCTCCCTCCTTCCCTCCTCCTTCCTCCTATTCCCCCTCCTCCCCCTTCCTTCCCTCCCTTCCCTCCTCTCTTTTGAAGAATCCACCAGAAAGTAGTTGACCTTTTTTTCGGAAGAGAAATTCCCAGGAAACAATATGTTTAAATCCTCATTATTTCGGTCGCGGTATTGGGGGGGGAGAGGGGGGGGAAGGGGGAGAGGAAGAGAGAGAGAGGGGAGGGAAGAGTGGGAGGAAGGGGACAGGGGAGAGGAGAGATGAAGGGAAAGAGAGAAGAGAGGACGGGAAAGAGAGAAGAGAGGAGAGGGAAAGGGAGAGAGGAGAAGGAAAGGGAAAGAGGAGAAGGAAAGAGAGAGAAGAAGAGAAATGGAGCGAGGAGAGTATAGCAAAGAGAGAGAGAGAGAGGAGAGTGGGGGAAGGGAAAGAGCAATGAATAAACGGAACAGATGAAGGGTGAAAAAGAATGTTCTCCGTCATTCAGCACAGATTTCACTCGTGTTATGCTTTCTAGAGGAACACGTGAAAAATGTAAGCCTGGTTTCGTGGAGGCTACGCGTACGCACTCAACACGAACACGCACGTACACACACGCACAGAGAGGAAAGAGAGACGGACTGATAGAGGGAGGGAGGGAGGAGAGAGAGAGAGAGGGGGGGGGAAGAAAACAGAGAGAGAGAAAAGAGAGAGTGTCTGTGTGAGAGAGAAATAAAGATAGAGAGAGAGACGGGGGAGAGAAAACTGAGAGAGAGAAAAGAGAGTGTGTGAGAGAGAGAAAGAAAGAGAAAAATAAAAAAAAGAAAAGGGAGAAAAACACAGACAAACACAGACACAGACCCAAACAACTACCACGAAACCGAGACAATAAGACCTGCAAAGTGTACCATTCCGGCGCCATTGTTCCCTCGCGAAATGCCTAACCTAACACAAGATAACCTTGCCGTGTCGTTTCAGCTTTCATAATTCCTCTCAAAGATTATCTTAAATTATCTTCACAATCGGAGAAATACACGAAGTGTGTTCAGTTTTTTTTTCTTCTTCTTTTTCTTCTTCTTCTTCTTCTTTTATCCATTAACATGTTTTAGCGTAATACATCGCTCCGTTGTTATTATTATTATTATCATTATTATGATCTTTATAATTATTATGAGTATCATTATCAGTAGCATAATCATGATCAGCGTCATCACACAATTATCATTGTTTTTATTACTTTTATTACTTTTATTATACTATATTTATTATTATTAATTATTATTATTATTATTATTATTATTATTAATATAATTATTATTATTATTATTATTATTATTATTATTATTATTATTATTATTATTATTATTATTATTATTATATTATTATTATCAATATCATTATATAATATTATTATTACTATTATTATTATTATCACTTCATTATTATTATTATTATCATTATCATGTATTATTATTACATTATATTATCATCATCATCATGCATATTTATTTTTTAAAAATCAATTGAAATGCTCCATCAACAAATCCGACTAACACGAACTCTCTCCATTGCAATTCGTCTACTTCTTTTTTTCTCCGTTTCTCTAACCCAATAACCACAACTATGACAAGCAGAATTGAACGAAGTCTTTAGCGAACGAGCGAAAGGAAAAAATTGGCGATTTCCGTTGTTAGTTTCTCTCGTGTAACTGGGTTGTTGGTGACGTCTGACCTCGCATGACCTCTGCGCTTTTGTCTTTCGGGGTTTCTTGTGATTTTTTATGCGTTTTGTTTTGTTTGTCTTGGTTCTTTGTGTGTGGGTTTTTGTTTTTGTGCTTTGTTTAGTTTCTCTTTTTTTTACTTTTACTTTTCACTTTCTCTCTGTCTGTCCCTCTCTCTCTCTCTCTCTCTCTCTCTCTCTCTCTCTCTCTCTCTCTCTCTCTCTCTCTCTTCTCTCTCTCTCTCTCTCTCTCTCTCTCTCTCTCTCTCTCTCTCTCTCTCTCTCTCTCTCTCTCTCTCTCTCTCTCTCTCTCTCTCACATCACACACACACACACCACACACACACACACACACACACTACACACACACACACACACACACACACACACACACACACACACACACACACACACACAAGGATAAACAGAGATACAATACTAAGTCTTAAAGAAAGATACAATATTGATACAAAGAAAGATAAGATATTAAGTTACAAAGAGAGATTCTTCTGAACTAGACTTTGGTAGCACATGCTCGTGTTACGTCACAACTTATGCAAGGATTTCAGATGCAGTTGTTGTTGTTAGTGGCGCGTGTTATGTGACGTGTAATTATGGCTTTGGAAACGATAGGGTAGAGTTACGTCGTGTTATTGTTATTATTTTTTTGTTATTATTCTTTTGGTTTGGTTCTGATATGTATTTATGTCGTTTTTTTTTTTTTTGGCTATTTTTATTTTAGTTACGTCGCATGTTTTTGCTTATTTTTATTTTTGTTTATTTATATATTGCGTTTTGTATGTTTTTGTTTTGTTTATGAGGTATTTATGTATGGACATGCACATAAATTGATAAATATTTAATTGGATGGTAACCTTTGTTTTTTATATTCATTGTTTGTATATGTTTCTTATTGTAATTAATAGGGTTCTGATTTTTACATTACATGGGACGTTAAATATTCTTGAAGTTATTTATAGAAGAAATGTGATATTCTAGTCATTGGGTAGAGATTCAGGTTAATTATAGATGTCTGTAAATAAAATGATATATGAAGTGGAAGCAAATATGAGTTAGGAAAGAAATAGAATCTTACATCGAGTTAATTTTGTTTTTTATTTTATTTTGTTTGTTTGTTTATTCATTTATTTTTATTTATTTATCTCTTTTTCTCCGAGTAAAAATATATCGTTTCGGTATTTCCACATAAAAGAAACTGCTTTGGTTATTTTTCGTATCTCTTTCTTTTCTCTCTTTATCTTTCTTTTTCCCTCTCCTTCCCCTCCCCTTCCACCCTCCCTCTCTCCCTCCTTCCCTCCCCCTTCCTCCTCTCCCTCCTCATTCCCCTCTCCTCCTCCCTCCCCCCCCCCCCCCCCCTCTCTCTCTCTCTCTCTCTCTCCTCTCTCTCTCTCTCTCTCCTCTCTCCTATCTCCTCTCTCTCTCTCTCTCTCCCCCTCCCCTCCTCTCCCTCCTCCCACCCTCTCTCTCCCCTCCCCTCCTTCCCTCCCTCCTCCCTCCCTCCCTTCCCTCCTCTTCCCCTTCCCTCTCCCTCCTTCCCCTTCCTCCCTCCCTCCCTCCTCTCCCCTCTCCCTCCTCCCTCCCTCTCTCCTTCTCTCCTTCTCCTCTCTCTTCATTCCTTATCTTTCTCCCGATGGCGTAACCCGAAGGCGTCCCAAGAGCAGGGTATATATCGGGGGGATGGGGGGGGGGGTCGTGTCCATCTGCCGTGTCTTCGAGTTTCCCAGCGACCGCAGGACCAAAGGGAATTGCGCTTTGTGCTTTGTGTGACTTTGGTTGTGCGCTGAAAGTCGTTGCATGTGTTGTGCTGTTAGCTTTCAGGTGGGTTTGTTTTTTTTTTTTTTTTTTTTATTTTTTTTTTTTTTTTTTTTCTGGTGGGGTTGAATTTCGTCTTTTTTTCTTTGTTTGTTTTTTGGTTATTTTTTGTGTCTTTTCTCTCTTTTTTTTTTCTTCTTTTTCTTTCTTTCTTTTCTTGTCTGATCCCTCTCTCCCTCAATCCACCCCCTCTCCCTCCCCACCTCACCACCCCCCCTCCACTAACCCCCTCTCCCTCCCTCCGCAGCTCAGGAGGCGGTGGTGAGCATGAAGGGCACGCTGACGGAGGCCGTGGCGCGTCTCAGCTCGGTGGTGGAGGACCCGGCGATGACCCGGGAGGTGCAGGAGACGCGGCAGCGCTGCGACGACAACACGGCCGAGGTCCTGAAGCTGGTGTTGTCGCTCAAGTCGGACATCACGTCCTTGCAGTGAGTAGGACTTCGGTTGGAGAGGGCGTTGGAGGCGCTGTATACACCACACACACACACACACACACACACACACACACACACACAACACCACACACACACACACACACACACACACATATATATATATATATATATATATATATGTATATATACACACAGAATATATATATTCACTATGTATACGCAATATATTTTTTCTCTCATTTTTTTTTCTTTTTATAGATAGGAAAACAAACAATTGTACCAAAAATAATGAGAGAGAGGAAAATCAACAGGAACGAACATATAGATAAAAAAGTAATGAAGCAGAGAAGAATGTAAATACAGACGCGAACAGTTAGATAAAAGATATATCGTGAAAATCAATAAGCGCAGAAATAAACAAATAAACAAAAAACAAACAGAGAACAGAATACAAAAACAAACCACTAAACAAACAAAAATAAAAATCAAACCAAGAACCGAATGGAGAACGACAGAAAAACAAAACAAACTCGACAAAGACAACAAAAGTAAATACAAATAACCATAAACAAGAAAGAAAACAAACAAATACTTTTCGTCTAATTTTTAATTTTTAATTTTAATTTTAATTTAATTTCGTCTAGTTTTAATACTTTATATTTAATTTCCTTTTCCATTTTTCCACTTTACAGGAAGGAGGTGGTGTCAATCAGCGACCGCCAGGAGACACTGCAGACTTCGGTGGCACAGCTGTTGGAAGAGCGCCGACTGTTGGTGTCAGACCTCTCTCAGGCTGGGGTCATCTCCCTTCATACCAGGTGGGTAGGGGAGGGAGGGAGGGGGAGGGGAAGAAAGGGGGGAGGGGGAAGAGAGAGGGAGAGGGAGGGGAGGGGAAGGAGAGAGGGATGGTAGGGAGGATGGAGAGAGAGAGTGAGAGTAGAGAGAGAGAAGAGAGAGAGAGAAAAAGAAAAGAGTGAGAGAAGAGAGAGAGAGAGAGAGAGAGAGAGAGAGAGAGAGAGAGAAGAGAGAGAGAGAAAGAGAGAGAGAGAAGAGAGAAATGAAAGGGAGAGACAGAAAGATAGAAGAGAGCGAGAGAGAGACGAGAGAAAGAGGAAGAGAGAGAGAGAGAGAGAGACGATGAGAGAGAGAGGAGAGGAGAGAGAGAGAGAGAGAATGAAAGTGAGAGAGCGAGAGATAGGGGCCAGATATACTCGCACTCAGAGATGGGACACTTCGATACTCAGGCAGGCAGGAAAACACGACGAATTACTCCAGCAAACTGACAGAGCGAGAGACGAGCAGTCAAGTACTAAGCAAATTAACGAGCACAAAAACAGCCAAGTAATTACTGATTCGATGAGAGAATTGGTAGATAGATGCAGGTATAAATTAGATAATTAAACAGGTACCAGAAACAGGGAACGACAGGTGCAAACAATCGAATAGAAAACAAATAAATCACAAAAGTAGTGAATAATGACAGAAACAAACAATCAAACAGGTAAAGAAGTAGTAGAGAACGACCTAAACAACCGAACTAGATAACGAAGGTAGATAGATAGGTAATAGACAGATGAAGAGAGAAGAAGAAGAAGAAGAAGAAGAAGAAGAAGAAGAAGAAGAAGAAGAGGAGGAGGAGGAGGATAATGAAGAAGAAGACGAAGACGAAGGGGAAGAAGAGGATGAAGAAGAAAAAGAAGAAGAAGAGAGGAAGAAGAAAAAAGACGAAAAACAAGAACAAGAACAAGGAGGTCCCTGGAAGGCCAGCTCGGAGACAGGCCACGCAGCTGGGCATGTTCACTGCACTCAGTATAGCGTTGAGCTCGAGTTACTGGTTGGTTTTCCGAAGGGCACAGGTGGGAGAGGTTGGGGGGAAGGGAGGGGGGAGGGAGAGGAGAGAGGGAGGAGGGAGGGAGGGAGAGAGGGGGGAGAGGAGAGAGGGGGGGAGAGAGGAGAGAGGAGGAGAGAGAGGGAGAAGCAGAAAGGGAGAGAAGGAGAGAGAGAGAGGAGGGACGGAGAGGTAGGAGAGAGAGAGTTGAAAAGTAGAAGGAAGAAAAAATAAAAATGGAATGCATACAATACGATAAGGAAAAAAATCAGGAAGTGAGTGAACACAAAAAAAAAAGAAAAACGGAGGAAGATCACAAAAAAGAAGAAACCGAAAAAAAGAGAGAAAAATAGAGAGAAACAGAACACAAGGAATGGATCATTAGCGTAACTGCATCGCCAGAGCCATTATCACTTAGAGTTAGCATTAACGATCTCTCTGCTGCCGTTGCCTCGTTCATCACGGTTCTCGTTGGCGCTACGATTGCTGTAGTCACTTTGGGGAAAGAAATGGGTCTGCGTGTCTTTGTGTGTGTGTGTGTGTGTGTGTGTGTGTGTGTGTGTGTGTGTGTGTGTGTGTGTGTGTGTTGTGTGTGTGTGTGTGTGTGCATACGTACGTGTAATTTTATGATTGCATGCGTGTGTGCATGTGCATATCTGCGTGTTTGCTTGCACGCGTGTCCAGGCCCCGAATGAAGCCAATTCCAAAAATAGACTAACCCCCCCCCTTCCCCTTCCCCTCAGGTCCCGCCTCGAGTCCCGCGGCGCGATACCGGGCGACGGCGGCGGCGGCGGCGGTGGCGGCGCTGCCGCTCTGGCTCCGGCACCCACAGCAACGACTCGGGCGTGGCGCTGCTGCTGGAGCGCGCCCACCAGGCCTTCACGGCGGACCACACGCCTCGCCCACGCCCACCAACCAGCGGGCGTCGGATCAGGTAGATTGCTGACGCTGTTGGATATATTCGCCCTTAGGAAGGTATATGATTAATGAATTGCAGCACGCACACGCACACGCACGCACACGCACACGCACACACACACACACGCACACACACACACACACACACACACACACACACACACACACACACACACACACACACACACACACACACACACACACACACACACACACACACTCCCCACACACTCCCCCTCCCCCACACACACTCCCTCCCCCACACTCCCCCCACCCCACCCACACACACACCAAGCCCTTACCCATCACTTCGCATGACCATACCATTAACATGCACGATACCACAGTCTGCATGAAATTCCTTTTGGCTGTTCATGACTACCATGTTCTGCTTCCATGAATTGCTTTTGTTCAGGAACCTTTTATAAAATCTTCCAAAAGACCTAATGGGTGTTTTATTATTTTTAGTTCCATGTTTCTTCTTGAAATGTTGGTAATGTTTCACTAATTATTTCATTTTGTTGTTGTTTTTTTACGGTTGTGTTTATGATGTTGGTGTTTTTTGGTTTTTAAATAATTTAGAAATAATTATTCTTATCGTTTTTTTTAAGAAAAAAAGTTTTTTTTGTTGTTGTTCTTTTACGGTTGTGTTTATGATGTTGGTGTTTTTGGTTTTTAAACAATTAAGAAATAATTATTCTTATCGTTTTTTTTTTTTAAGAAGTAGGGAGTTTTGGTTATGATAATCGTGGTTGTGAATATTGATTATTATTTGATTCCTCATTTTAATAAGAAGTGGGCAGTTATGATCGGTTTATATAAAGTTTGTTTTTGAAAAAGTTGTAGATGAATTTTGAATCTAAATTATAAATCGCAGATTTATAACACAATATTATAACACTGGATTATAACTGACGCTTTATTATAATTCTCACTAAATCGTAGCTTACATTGTAATATAATTCAATCAATTAAAACATAATTATAATTTACACAGAATTATAGCTTAACACAGAATTATAACCTAACATAGAGTTATAGCAACACAGAATTATAACACACGATTATAACAACATAGAATTAGCTTTACAAGAAACACATAACAACTTCACACAGATTTATACATACAGACACTTAGAATTATATATAAACACTTTAACACAGAATTATACATAACAGCACAGAATTATAACATAACAGACTTATAACACAGAATTACAATTTATAACAGAATTATAACATAAAGACTTATACAACTTATAACCGTGACAAACACTTATAAACAGAACATAACAGACTCATAACACAACCTCATAACGTGACACATTATTATAACTTATAACCCAGAATTAAACCTCACGCTACCTCACCCTTTCCAGGACTCCCTCCCGGACCAACCCTCTCTGCTGGTCCCTCCTTCGGTCTACGATTACGTGGCTGGTCTTCGGTCTCACGGTCTGCACGCCGCCCCCTCACACCCCGCCACGCCACAGACCGACGCGGCTAACAACAGACAGAGTGAGTGTTTAAGGGCGTGGAGTGGGTGGGTGGGTGTGATTTGATGGAGTTGTGGTTGTGATTTGTGTTTTGTTGTGGTTGTTATGGTGTTCTGTTTAATTAACAACAGACAGAGTGAGTGTTTGAGGGCGTGGAGTGGGTGGGTGTGTGATTTGGAGTTGTGGTTGTGATTTGTGTTTTGTTGTGGTTGTTGTGGGTGTGGAGTGTGTGTGGTTTCGAGGAGTTGAGGTTGTGATTTGTGTTTTGTTGTTGTTGTTGTGGTTGTTATGGTGTTCTGTTTACTTAACAACAGACAGAGTGAGTGTTTAAGGGCGTGGAGTGGGTGGGTGGGTGTGATTTGATGGAGTTGTGGTTGTGATTTGTGTTTTGTTGTGGTTGTGGTTGTTATGGGTGTGGAGTGTGTGTGTGGTTTGATGGAGTTGAGGTTGTGATTTGTGTTTTGTTGTGGTTGTGGTTGTTATGGGTGTGGAGTGTGTGTGGTTTCGAGGAGTTGAGGTTGTGATTTGTGTTTTGTTGTGGCTGTGGTTGTTATTGTGTTCTGTTTAATTAACAACAGACAGAGTGAGTGTTTAAGGACGTGGAGTGTGTGTGTGTGTGTGATTTGATGGAGTTGTGGTTGTGATTTGTGTTTTGTTGTTGTGGTTGTTATGGGTGTGGAGTGTGTGTGTGATTTGCAGGTGTTGGGATGGAGTTGAGGTTGTGGTTTGTGTTTGGTTGTTGTGGTTGTTATGGGTGTGGAGTGTGTGTGTGATTTGCAGGTGTTGGGATGGAGTTGAGGTTGTGGTTTGTGTTTGGTTGTTGTGGTTGTTATGGGTGTGGAGTGTGTGTGGTTTCGAGGAGTTGAGGTTGTGATTTGTGTTTTGTTGTTGTGGTTGTGGTTGTTATGGTGTTCTGTTTACTTGTTTTGGGGGTTCTTTATATTTTGGGTTTGTTATCGTGGTGGTTGATGAGAGGGAAGGAAAAATAATAAGAATGGAGTGAGATAGATATAAAGAGGAAGAATGGACAATGAAAGAAATTGTAAAAAAGGGAATAAAAGACTGAAAGAAGAAAATAAAAAAGAAAAAAGGAAAAAAGCTAACGAAAGAGATATTAAAGATTAGAAAACGATGGGAGAAAGCAATACAAAACAAAGAAAACGGGCCATCGCCGTGTTTTTATTTTTTAACGGCTGTCCGATAGATGGCTCTGCTCGGGCCGGAGCGCGTAGAGAATTTATGATCGAAGTGGGAGGTCCTTGAGCAAAATAGGAGTCTTCCTGTTATTTTTGGATCACACGACATCCTTTGCAGCAGAAAGGACACGCCCCGGGAAGTCTCACAATTGATCCCTTCTCTTGCAATCCTTTTTTTTTTCTTTTTCTTTTCTTTTTTTCCTTTTTTCTTTTTCTTTTTTTTATCGGACTATTTGACGATTTTGTGTGATATTCATTTTTCAAGAATATTTTGAATTTACGGATGTTTCGACAAGGAACATGTAAGGAAACGAATTTTATTTCTGAAAATGATAATTTTAGAAGATAATGAAAAAATAATGATAATGATAATGAAGATGATAATAGTGATTGATTATGATAATTATGATAATGATCGTAATTGATAATGAAATTAATGATTATGATAAAGACGATAATGAGAATAATAATGATAATTAGATAAATAAAAAATACAATAAAGAAATATACAAATAAACCGAAAGAAAACGGAGAAACGCAACCCCGTCACGAATTTAATCTCCCTGATTAGTAACCCTTCCAAAAATTCTAATTAAAATCCCGCAAACATTTCGTGCACAAGGAGGGAATTTGCGTGACCCCCCCCCCAAAAAAAAAAAAAAAAAAAAAAAAAGGTAGAAAACATTTCAAATATCACGTTATTCACAACACGATGAGGTCATTTTCTTGATACTTTTTTTCGGGTGTGTAAATTAAGAATCTCCATTTTAATTACCTTTAATTAAGATATACGGCCCGTAATGTCACATAGAAAATGGAATGTTGTTCTATTATCCGTTGGAGGGAGAAGGGGAGGGGGGGAGATAGAGGAAAGAGAGGACAAAGAGAGGGAGGAGAGAGAGTGAGGAGAGAGTGAAAGTAGGAGAAAGAGAGAGTAAGGAGAGAGAAAAAGAGTGAGAGTGAGGAGGGAGAGTGAGAGTAGGAGAGAGAGAGAGAGTAAGGAGAGAAAGAGAGAGTGAGGATAGAAAGAGAGTGAGAATGAGGAGAGAGGGAGAGAGGAGAAAGAGACAAAGAGGAGAGAAATAGAGAGAGAACAAGAGAAAGAGAGAACAAAGAAAGAAAATAGCGCTACAAAAGAGCGTTTCTTGCTACGTGACTTATGCCAGCGAGCGGAAGTTTGTGCTCGCGGTCGCTATGCTCGTGATGTCAATATCTTTGCTTCGCTGAATTTTATGGAAGGAAGAAAGAAGTAAAAAAAACAAAAAAAAAACGAGGAATGTGTGTATATCAATTTCATTTGACATTTTGAATTATTGGTCCTTCTTTCTTCCTTTTTTTATTGATGGGTGAACACATCTTTATATTTATATTTACGCTGCTTACCCCCCAACTCTATCGCTCTCTCTCTCTCTTTCTTTCTTTCTTTCTTTCTTTTTTTCTTTCGTTCTCTCTCTCTCTCTCTCTCTCTCTCTCTCTCTCTCTCTCTCTCTCTCTCTCTCTCTCTCTCTCTCTCTCTCTCTCTCTCTCTCTTCTCTCTCTCTCTCTCTCTCTCTCTTTCTCTCTCTCTCTCTCTCTCTCTCCTCTCTCTCTCTCTCTCTCTCTCTCTCTCTCTCTCTCTCTCTCTCTCTCTCTCTCTCTCTCTCTCTCTCTCTCTCTCTCTCTCTTCTCTCTCTCTCTCTCTCTCCTCTCCTCTCTCTCTCTATCCTCTCTATCTTCTCTATCTATCTATCTATCTATCTATCTATCTATCTCCCTGTCTCTCTCTTTCTCTCTCTCTCTCTCTATCTCTATCTCCATCTCCATCTCCATCTCCATCTCCATCTCCATCTCCATCTCCATCTCCATCTCCATCTCCATCTCTATCTCTATCTCTATCTCTCTCTCTCTCTCTCTCTCTCTCTCTCTCTCTCTCTCTCTCTCTCTCTCTTTCTCTCTCGAATGCAAATATGCAAAGATAAATATATAATACATACTTACTTGAATACATACATGCTTACACACACACACACACACACACACACACACACACACACACACACACACACACACACACACACACACACACACACACACACACACACACACACACACACACACAGACACATACACGTATACAAATTTAAACACCCCAACGCCCACACACGCCTTCACTCTCCCTCTCTTCGCATCTCTCTTCACCCACTTCATCCAATATTCGTGTACGTGTAGCAGTGCATGAAGCGAGGCAGCAATTGCACTTTGCAGCAAAGAAAAGGGGCTTGCAACTTGCTTCTCCAAAGGTATTTACTCTCACTCGCCTCACGCACCTCATCCACTTCATTTGTCCACCCAAATTCCACTCGCTTATTTATCCACCTCACTCACTTTCCTCATTCAGCCTTACTGACTCACTCATATACCTCATCCCACTCACTCAGTTCACTTACTCAGTCACTCACCACCCAATCACTCACTCATACTCCACTCACTTACTCAGTCTTCACCACCCACTTCACTTACTCTCACTCACTCACTCACTCACACTCACCACACCACTCATTCACTCACCACCCTCTCACACACTACCCACCACCCTCTCACTTACCCACCACCCACCACCTCCCTCACCTCACCCACCTACCCCACTCACCACCCCACCCAACCCCCTCTCTAACCGCCCCTCCCCGCAGGCGTGGTCGCGGCCGTGGGCGGCGACAGCGAGGACCTGGGTCTCGTCTACGACTCGGACTCGTCCCTGACCATCGCGGCAACAAGACATCAGCCTCAGCGCCTCCCTCAGCCAGCAGTGCGGCCTCGAGCTCCGGACGGCGCACACGGGGCCCCCGACGCACCACCACCACGGCCACGCGGGCGCCGCCGACCACGAGCACCACCACCACCACCACCGCCTCCGCCAGGCGAGCCACGACAGGAGCCACCTGCGCTCGGACTCCGACGGCTCCGATCAGTCGCGCGACGCCAAGCACAGGCAACCGGCGGGGCGTCGCATGACCGGGGTGAGGGTCGGGGGGGCGCGGGCGTGGGGGCCTTTCTCTGGCTCTCTTGCGGTCCATTTTGATTCCTCGCTTTCTTTATTTCTTTCTATATCTGTCTATCTCAATCTCTCTCTCTCTCTGTTCTCTTCTCTCTTCTCTCTTCTCTCTTTTCTCTCTCTCTCTCTCTCTTCTCTCTCTCTCTCTCTCTCTTCTCTCTCTCTCTCTCTCTTCTCTCTCTCTCTCTCCTCTCTCTCTCTCTCCTCTCTCTCTTCTCCTCTCTCTATCCTCTCTCTTCCTCTCCTACCATTCTTCCATTTTCTCTCCTCTATCTTCTCCCTTCCCCTCTTCCTCTTTCTCTCCTCTCATTCTCTTCCACTTCTTTTCTTCTCTCTCTCTCTCTGGTAGCCATTATATATATATATTTTTTTAGAATCATGGACATCAGTATATATCAGTATCATTAAAATTACATTTTGAAGATACTGGGATCCCAAGACAGAATATCCGAAGGCAGGTCAGCTGACCAATGGCAAGCCGTAGCTGACCAGACTTCGACGAGGCTGTCTAGGAATCCCAGGACATTGGAGACTAGTATGACCTTCGCTTAACCCCTCCTCGTGCCCTCTGACAGAGCGGGAGAGCAGCAGTGACCCCTACGGTGTGGTGGGGTCCCGCGGCCGCTCCTCCTTCGCAGACAGTCGGGACCCTCGCGAAAGCCAGCGGTACAGGGTGGCTCGGGAGCTCCTCGACACGGAGAAGAAGTACTGCAAGACCCTGTGGACCATTCAGGACACGTTTGCTGAACCCCTGAAGAAGGCGGGGATTCTGTCTCACAAGGATATCACGTGAGTATTGCGGTGTCCGTGGGAGAAGCGAGGTTGGAGGAAAGGGAAGTGTGAATGTGGATATTATAGCGGTAAGATCCTTGGTTCGTATTTATGGTTTTAAGTTTTAAGTCACGGACTCAAGCGGGGATTTAAAAGATATAACAACATCGAAAGAACCATACATAAAACAGTGTCTTGTTTCAGTTCACGGTCTTGTAAAATCTCCTGCTTTATTGCCACCAGCGTGTTAGTCACGGAACTGCGATTCGTTGCAATTCAGCTTTTTCTCCCCCTCCCTTTAAAAAAAAACGACTTTCCCGAAATAATTCACGCTCATTATATCTCTCCTTCGCAGCACTCTGTTCCCGGAAGAGGTGTACCAGCTGTACGACAAGCACTGCCTTCTGCAACACCAGCTGCGGGAGCGCCTGGCCTCGTGGAAGTGGCAGCCGTTGGTCGGGGACGTCGTGGCCCGCTTCACCGACCCGAGGCACACCGACGTCCTCCGTCTCTACACCGCCTACGTCAACGACTTCCCGGAGGTCCTCAAGACGTTCCACAAGCTGTGTCGCACGTCGCAGCCCTTCACCAAGTTCATTAAGGTGGGCGGCGGCGACTTGTCCAGTTTCGAGAGGCTGGAAAATAATTCCCTTTTGCTTACTAACACACATATATTTCATTTTGATATGTGGCTTACATCTTATATCAAATATTGTATGTATTAAACTTTCATAGTGATATAGCTGATACAAACACATTTGTTTTTTTGCTTGTAAGTTCTGCTGTAGACAACTTTCGCGTCAACCAAATGCCTCTTGCAGTCCTGTCTGGAGCAGCCGGCCTGCGGCGGCCTGGACCTGGGCGCCTTCCTGCTGACGCCCGTGCAGCGCGTCCCCCGGTACATCCTCCTGATGAAGCAGCTCCTGAAGTACACGGAGCCGCAGCACCCGGACTACCAGCACCTGCACGCCTGCCTGGAGCGCCTGAGGGACTTCCTGGCGCGCCTCAACGACTCCATGGAGCACTCCTTCCAGCTGGTACACGCCCAGCTGTCCCCCCACGGCACCGTCCCCGGGCCCGCGCACCACCACCCCCCTCCCCCGCAACCCCCCACGTCGCTTCACAGGTACGCCCACTCGGGGTATGGAAAGGGACGTCGGGGGTAGACTAGTCCTTAGCTGGAGCTGTAGAGGACATGCTTCCTGCGCTGATTAATTCTGAAATTCTGAGAGCCACCAGGATGCTCCCAGGTGTAAAGTTGGTATCAGTAGAGCTAGTAGACTTCTCTTTATTCTTCATTGACATAGCTTTTTTTCCCTTTATTTTAGCTAAAGTAAATACGTAAATACATCAACATTATTTCAGAAAATGAATAAAATAAATAATTTTAGAAAATTAAAACAAAAGTATGAAAGAATTCCGTTGATCCAAACGCCTTTCCCTTAAAAAAAAAAAAAAAAAAAAAAACAGCCAGATCCTACAAATTCCTGCCTTACGTTCCAGGCTCAGTAACTTACTAGAGCTCAGCCAGCCTTCCTTCCCGGGGTCGGCTCTCCCCCTCCAGCATGTACGTAAAGATCATTAAAAGAGAACGCACAGACCGCCACATTGCACCCAGTATAAGCTTCCCTTCCTCGCGACTCGGGAAGTGTTGAGTCAGTGCATATGAGTCATTTGATGTTAGTATGGTGTTGTTAGGGCCGTGTGGAAGGCAGTTAATATGTGAATATTGGGGCGGGGGTCGTTCAACTTACTACTTATTACGATCTCTTACTTTTTAGTGAGTGATATGCACTCTGGTGTATTGGTGGAAGAGGGTCTTCAGAAGCGAAAGACAAGGCTTTCCTTGGTTTCATGTATGATATTGTAACTTCTCGTAATCCTATCCTGTAACCTTAGATTTACTGTAGTATTTGGGGTCCTTCCTTTCTGCCAGCGTCTTTCTATTACCGAAAGGAAAGCAAAGCATATTGCAGTCATATTAGACAGATTTTTTAGCGAATGAGCGGCGTGACCCGCCGCTGCCTCCTTGTGTCCCTCCAACGAGTCTTTGGTGTTGACAGGCCGGGCCGCTCGCCTCGACGCTCCAGCTCGTCCATAGGCAGCCCGCCCGTGAGCCCCGGGTCGCCCGCCTACAGCCCGGACCGGGTGAGTCTGGGCTGCAGTCCCCACAGGTCGCCGGAGGACCGACGCCGCTCTCCGGGGAGTTCGACGAGCCTCGCCACCCCGCAGCGGTCCCACAGCATCGCCACGCAGCCCTCCTGCCGCCCGCGCTCGGTGTTCCTCGACAACAGGTCTTCGTCGCTGCCTCGAGGCTCCGCCAGCTCCAGCAGCGGGTCGCGGGGCAGCGCCGCCTCGCCCAGCTCGGACGCGCCCCGCACGAGGTCCCGGAGCGAGAGCGTGGCTTCGCGGCGCCCGCTGCCTTCCACACACACCCACACACCCCTGCAGTCTCTAGTCACCCAGGAAGGGCCTCGCCCGCTGGCGCCCGCGCACTCCGTGGTGGACGTGACGGCGTCGCTTAGCCCGTCCCGCGACGCCCGCTGGGAGGAGCTGGCCGCCAGCGAGCCCTCCCTCCTGGACCCCCGGCCCTCGCAGGAGGCGTCCAGGGCCCCCGCTAACTCGTCGCTGTCCGCTGCACACAGCGTGGCCAGCGTGGACGGGCAGCAGAAGGTCAGCACGCCCGTGTGGACAGAGTCGTCCCACTCGGATGACCCGCGGAGCAAGAAAAAGTCGTCTATCCGCACGTCCCTCAAGAACATGTTCACCTTCAAGAAGAGGTATGTTGAGCACTCTCCCCTCCGCACTTCCTCTCCCACAACCACAGACTCTCCTCACGCACTCCACACAACTCAACACGGACTCTCCACGACACTCTCCTCGTCTCGGGATCTTAACACAGACGAAGGGTCCTCCGGGCTTCTTGCACCTCCTTTCCTGGGGATCTCTGGAGGACATTCCTCTCTTGACCTCCAGTCTCCTGACAGAGGCTCAGTCTGTGTGCTGCACGAGAGCTCAGTCTGAATCTTCTCGCTTGGGTCAGTAATCCACTCGCACCTAGAGCACTGTTAGCAAGCACGAACTCGAGTTTAGTCATTCAGTGTCACTAATTAGCCAGATTCACTAATTTCATGTCACATCCTTCTCCAAGAGCGCTCACCTGTAGTCAGGGCGCTCTCAACCTCATGTAATGTTTACTAAGGAGAACTAGTCTGTTTACTGTTAATGTATTCACCATATAGTTAGTTTATAGTACTAGCCTGTGGTGTT